GGGTATAAACCCAAGCCTGCAGACGGATTTAGAGGCCAACACAGCCAGCCCAGAGCGTGGTTTCCTGAAGGGTGACCAATTCAGTTGTGTGGTGCTGCAAAACTCACCTCTAGGTCACTGAGCTTTTAACGTGAACCCATCATGAATCCTGTTTGCTTTGTCCATCAGACAAAGCAACCTTACAAAAGTGACTGTGCAAATATTTACAGTATGCACAAAAATCTGTGCAAACCCAGCCCTAAATCCAACATGCAAAATGGGAGCTGGGCTCGTTCCCTAAAAGTGAGAGCCATGTTTGGTCTGAGATGCAAACTGGTGGAAACACCAGGAATCGGTCATTTTTTCAATGAAGAGTAGTCAACCCCAAAACCAGCACAAGATCAGAAAAAGATCAGAAAAGCTTTAGAGCTTGTCAGAAAACGCTAACCATCCCTGCTGAGCTTTCAGTCCATCTACAGAAGTTGCTACCATTTCTGTCCTGCTTAGAGGAGGTCTTATAAAATGTTTCTAAAACAGATCCTTCTCCACCAGCTGCTGCTTGTTCATGGCATCTGTGTGGCAGATAATTTATACTGACCTGGGCCAGCATCACAGGTGCCACGTGCATTTTTATGAGACCGCTGGTTACAGCCCTGTCCGCTGGCATCAGAGGGGAATGCTCCATGAAAACCTGAAGTTTCTGGGAAGTTATCAGCAAAACCCCCTGCTGGACCTACACAGGTCTCTGAAGCTGTCCAGGGAAGCCTGTGTGCTGGTTTTCTTGCTTCAGGAGGCCTTGCAGTAGGTCAAAATGGGATAACTCAACAGCTCTGACTGAGGGCTGCAGTCAGACAAGCTCAGCCCACATGCAAAGCTGGCACGGCCAAAGTGAGCTTCTGGACACCAGTACAAAGCCTGGCCAGCTCAACCTAGGCCAAATACCAGTGAAGTTTCACTGATAACTCAAGTGGGTGTTGCATGCTCTGCAGGACAGTATAACCCCCTCCATCTGGAGAGGAAGGTGTGTGGATCCTTCCACCCCCCCAGAAGAAACCAGCCGAAGACCTGTCACCTCTACAGAGTCTTCCTGAAAGGGTTTCCAAGTCATATCACAGGCAGCAGGAGGAAATAGCGGCTGATGTAGATGTGTTGGGGAGGACCAGAGGTTCAGAATAAGCATCGTCCATCTCTCATCTCTTATCAATCTCTCCCCAAATATTTGAACTGAAAATAAAAAAAAAAAGCCAAGAAACCCACCACCAGCAACAAAAAGCCAAACCCAGTTTGGTTCGTCTCTACTCCCAGAAGCACTGCCACAGGGTAGGCTGTACAGGAGACTTGATGAAGCAGGGAGGGAGAGCTAGCAGAAGGACACCAAACGGTGGGCAGCAGCTAATTCCTCCTGCCTTTCACAAACAATCGGTCTATCTCCTGCCCCAAAGACTTGAATGTCTGCTCCAAAGGCACGAAGCCAAGAGCAGGCAGAGCCTCGGATGGGCTTTTTGGCACACGCTGAGTTTCTTGCAAGAACCATCTCTAGCAGTACATGGGATTTTTCCTTTTAACCTGTGACACAGCCCAGGCAGGCATACGTCCAGGGTCACCCACTGGCATCCGCCTCCCTGCCAGACTTGTTATAACCATGTACATTGGCTCCACATAGACTCTATTAACCCTTTGCCTAGGAGAAAGGGCAAGTGCCCGGACTCGATAGAAATGCTTAAAAAGAGGAACTCTTTATCAATATGGCACCAGTTAAAGCTGCCTGGAGACAAGGCAATGGGCTTGGGCTGCTGATGGAAAGAGGTCGAGGCAGCAGAGGACAGGGATGCTCGGCCAGGCAATCCCATACTTTCCTGCTGCAGGAGAGGAGCCTGCATGAAGCAGAAAGCAGATGACAGCAAAACTGAACTGGAAAGCATGGCATAAGGGCTTTCACCATCTCCCCCCGGAACGCTTGATGTGATACACGACGAGCAGGCCGTTGAGACTTGCAGATGACATGGGTCTTCATCAGGCAGGGCTTGAACCGAGGTGAACCTTGATGAACTGGTGGGATGATCTGAAGTCAAACAAGATGCACTTCAGGACAGACACAGGCAAAGCAAGGGGAGGGAGTTGGAAATCACAGGCACAGTGGCCAAATGGGAGTAATTGGCCTGGCAGAATGGGTCTCCAAGGAGGGGTAAGGCTGCCACCGAACACAAACCCATTCAATGATGATTGCTTTTCCAAAGCAGCTCTCACGCTGGAAAGCACATGCTGAGCCCCTCCAGTGGGAACCGCTCCTGCTCGGAGGCAGGGGTCCCAGCTGGAGAGCTTGGCATAGGGGTCTCCTCCTGGGGACCAGCTTCCCCAGCTGGAGAGGGCCCTGGGAGAGCCTCAAGGGACTGGGCATGGGGCAAAAGCTAAGGGAGCCAAGTTTATTCAGTCTTGGGGGGAGAAGACGTGATAGGAGCCTCTAAGTATAGAAAGATGCTGATGGCTTCCTGCCTCCCACAAGCTCTGTCTTCACCAGGGTCAATCACCCATTCCATCAAGCCCAAGGCACTGGAGATGAAACATGTCCCTGTCCACACATCATGACCCACCTCCATGCCATGCCACGCACACGCACCAGTCTGTGCCTCTCCCAGCTGCAGGAGTTACCCAGTCCTCAAGCACTGCTCCATGGTGTTGAAGCAACCGCTTTTTTAAGTGGGTTATGAAAGCAATCCCCGGCAGGCCTTTCAGGCTTTATTTGCACTGTAGACTGCAGTTTGTGTGCTGCCGGCAGGCAGGGGAGTGTGGTGACTCACAGGCACGGTGATTACCCCTCCAGCCAGGCTCTGCACTCCCATTTTCCCTCTTAGCCCAGACATGTGCTGGGTGCCGCAGAGTCCAGCCATATCAGTAAGGAGGGCTGATTGCTGCCTTTCTTTGAATGTCAATGGAGAAAGCAATGCAGGTTAATGCTACGCCAGCACTGCCTTGGATAGGAGGACCTGTTGCATCCCCAAATCATCACATCTTGCCATCATGGCATTAGGCTGCCTAACCAGCTACCCACCCTGCATCTCATAGACAGGCAAGGAGTGAATCTTATTTCCCAGGTTTGTTCCCCAAAAAGCAGACAATGGAGGAAGTGATATTCAGCAAGGCTTGCTCTCAGTCCAACTTTGCCTTTGAGGAGCCCTACAGCATCCAAAGTGCATCCAATGCTGCACATGCAGCAATCACCCCTCTCGTGCAAAGGCAGCCAGCATAAGACATTTTCCCTCCGCAGCAAGGTGCCTCTTCACGCCCCTATCATGTCCTTTGGGGTCCTGCTCTGAGGAAAGACCTCCTGGGTCACAGCCTTTCTGACCCAGCCACAGTCAGCCGGCACCAGCACAGGCTCAGCAAAGCCTTCAGCAGCCGGCAATGCTTAGGAAGATGTGCCGAGGTGCTCGGGGAACAGCTAACACCACAAGAGAGGTCAGGCCAGCACCTGGGGCCAAACAGCCAGCATCTCCAGAGCAAGAACGAGGGTCCATCACACTCACAGACACACTGGGTGGTCCACCAGCCACTCTTGAGTCCTTTGCAGAGGCAACACACTGTTGTGATGCTCCAACACTGCCCCAGTGATGGGATTTGGAGGAGCAGGAGGGAGCTGCGCTGGTTCCCACCTGAGAAACCAGCTCTGCCAGAGAGATCCCACCATTGCAGCCCCATGTGTGAGCTACAGCTTCAGGACTAGGAGCTGAACCATTCACAACTCCTGGGCCTGGGAGAGGCTCCTCAACAGGGTATGGTGTGAGCACATCAGCATGAAACTTCCCTGGGGTATGGCTGCAGCGAGAGGGCGGCCAGCAGTAGCTGTGCATCCAGGGCAGCTCGGCTGATCTCTTTGCAGTATTTTTCTTGCTCATTGTTGTGGTTTAACTCGGCAGGCAGCTAAACACCACACAGCTGTTCACTCACATCCGCCGCAGTGGGATGGGGGAGACAATCAGGAAAAAAAAGTAAAATTTGTGGGTTGAGATAAAGACAGTTTAATGGGACAGAAAAGGAAGGGAAAATAATAATAATCATAATGATAAAAGACTATACAAAATAAGTGATGTACAATGCAATTGCTCACCACCCGCCGACTGATGCCCAGCCAGTTCCCAAGCAGCGGTCACTGTCCCCCGGCCAACTCCCCCCAGTTTATGTACTGAGCATGACGTCACATGGTATGGAATATCCCTTTGGCCAGTTTGGGTCAGCTGTCCTGGCTGTGCCCCCTCCAGCGTCTCGCTGGCAGGGCATGAGAAGCTGAAAAGTCCTTGACTAGTGTAAGCACTACTTAGCAACAACTAAAACATCAGTGTGTTATCAACATTATTCTGATACTAAATCCAAAACACAGCACTATACCAGCTACTAGGAAGCTGCTCCCCTCCACCCACGGTGCTATTTCTCTGTCAGACATTCCCTCCGAAAGTGATGGGGCCAAGGTCCTCTGCTCCCTGCGCTGCTCCTGACCGCCCCCCAGCCTCTCCCGAATTGCTGGCCTGCCTGCTCTCCACCTCCGCGACTCAGTTTCCAAGACAAAATTAGGTGGTCTCACTTTCCCAAGGATGTTGCTTTTCCAAGACACCAGGCACCCATAACTGACTAAAGAAAATTAGATTTGGGTGTGCAGCATCCAAAAATGAAGGTGATTCCCTCCAGAGGGGACAAGGATTAAATCTGTGCCATAGCAGCAAAAGGCCTGAGGGGTAGATGTCCCATGAGCATAGCACCTCTCAGCAACCATTGCCAGCTCCTCCACATTTCTGGAGACATGGCACTTTCCTCCCTGGTTTTCTAGGGCATTTTTAGGCCAGTACCTCAGCTAAAGATCCAACACTGATGCATTAACAAACAAGGGTCTGATACCAAAACTCATCATCATCCTACCTTCAGGAGACACAACTCTCCATCCCAAGACAAACACGGCTCAGGTGGGATGTGAGCCATGCAGTGGGGACTGACCCCAGAAGCTTTTCACCCCTTGCAACACAGACAGTCACCCATCAAGTAGCTCTTCACCTTCAGGTATCCGACAGCCAGTCGGAGGATGGAGAGTTTATCAAGCCTGCTGCACACATCTTCAGGGAAGGACAGCAAGCCAGTCAGCTTGTTCAGCTCCCGGTTGAGCCTGTCTCTATGCCGCTTGGAGGGGTTGGACTTCACACCCTCAGGGGGTGGTGGTTTGGGGCTGGAAGAGGCACAGCAGTAAGAGGTTAGTTAATGACTTCAATGAGTCTGAGATGTCACCTTGTCTCCTTTGGTTTTTAATGTTGATTTGAAATTTCTAGCTTGAAGAAAAGCTCTTCAGACTAGATTGCATCCCCTAACATGCAACACATATTGTTTTGATGTAATTTGTCTAACCACAAACTCCCTCTCCACAGGCACCCTTGCTTCATAAAGCAGCTTTGGATAACAGCGTCTGCCAGTATTTAGCAGCAATTTAAGCTCTCCCCTCTACTACCGCTCTTGAATCTCATCTGGCAGGACTGCTCGCATGTGTGACAAAAGGAAATGAGTATAAATGAAATGCAGTGAGGTGCCTCTTGAATTTTCATTGCAGAGAGCTACCAAGGTGTCTTCTAAGCACAGATGGAAAATTGTAGCATTTCTCTGGAAAAGCTCAATCATGCTGTTTTGTAACGTCAGCATCAGGAGGAATATACTCTGCTTCTCAGAGGTTGGGTACAGCTCATCACCAAACTTGTCCATACAAGCTAGGTAAAACACACAGGCACCTGTGCTTTTAGGTATTCCATCAGCCAGTGGCTTAAACACTTTTGAAATCACAGTCACTCATTAGGAAGGAAAAAAATGAAATAGTTTTCCTTTGACTCTGTCTCTGATTAAAGGATATCTGAGGAAACTCAGAATAATTTTCTTCACCTCTCTTTTTTTTTTTTTTTTTTTTAAAGAAAAGTCCTCTGCCCACTCACTATCCAAATCTAGCCCACAAACAGCCAGAAAGAAGAGAAAATGAGACTGGAAATGAGCAAGGAGTGCTGCTCTTTATGGGAGTGGGTAAAATGCAGAGGTGTAACAGGGTCTCTTGGATAGTCTGGCCAAGCACTGAAAGTGCTCTGGCTGAGACACATGGGGTGACACAGCCAGCAGTGAAGCACCAGAAGGTTAAAGGAGGACACCCCAACATCTCTGTTCCTGCATGTCCCCAGCTGCAGCACACAAGATGCTTCATAGCCACCCTTGAGGGAAGGCATGATGAAGAAGAAAAGGGCTCTGGTGATGCCGGGCAGCTCTTTTGGCAGCCCATTTCTATGGGCAAATGCTGCACCCTGCACCCAGGAACTCCCAGGGCCAGAGGCTTCACAGTTCTCCATCCTTAGGGATGCCA